GTGAGGGAAAGCAAGCGTTCTCACGTGCTGCTGGTGGCTGGGTGAGCAGAGCTGGGCTGGCAGCCTCTCCCATGTCCACTTCCCTGTACCAAGACCACCGCGCAACCCTCCCGCTTGCCGGGGAGGGGTGGCAGGGCAGTCCTGATGACCCAGAAATGCCAGAAGCAGGATACCGGGTGACCAGCAGCCTATCTGTGTGACTTGATACAGAGGTCAGAAAGAAGCAGTCACGATGGGAAGATGTGAGACCTCCAGCTAAGTCAGAATCATGTGCGAATTGAAGCATTTATAGAAAAAGCAAAACCAATGTAGTATAGGTAGACACACAGAGCAACAAAAAGGATCTGGAAAAATTCGGACTCATGTGTGGGTGAGGAAGGAGGACTGGGGATGGGAATCCAAGCAAGCTGGGTTTGGAATACACGTGATCTGAAATAAATCTAGACACACACGTATCTATAGGGACGAGACCGTATTTGTGTATTGCTTTGCTTAATTAAAATGAAAAGCATGGACAGATTACCAGCTTAAAGCAAAGCTCAGTCCGTCTTTTAACGTTCCCAGCATTTATTTCAGAGTGAAAGTGGTCAATTACATAATTACTTATTTCGGATTTTACAGCCTAGACCCCGCAAACCGGGCTTTCATTTCTCTGCCATCCCTCAGAGCAGTTTGTAGCCCCTCTGTGCAGCAAAGCACCCCCAACACTTAGGGAGCCCTCAACAGGCGGCTGGGTCGGTTCACACACAGGGCTCCAGACACACCTGTTGGCGATCCCCTCAGCTCTGGAGATGAGTCCTTGCTACCACAGTTGAGCCAGACTCCCCATCTTTTGTTTTTCCTTTCTTCCAACTACCGGACAGGATGGGATGGATGGCAGGACTCTGCCCCAATCACTAATCAATACAAGGCTGCCTCCAGCACGCCCCCCGCCCCATGTGCTGAGTCATATCTGACTACGTGGGCAGAAAACTGTGCAGAAGGTCTTGCCAGCCACTTCAAAACTTTTAAGGGTGGTTTGCTTTTAAGTATGCTACACAGAGCTGTCTTCCAGCAAGAACTCCTAAAATCTACGCGTAGGTAATGCCTTCCGGGACGATGAAGGGCAGAGGTGTGGGTGTGTGTATTCATAGAGAAGCAGCTGTTTCTCCAGCGCTCTGGAAAACAAACCAAACAGCTCACCGAAAACTAGTTGAAAGTTTTATTTGTATAAACTTCATTAAGAACATAAAAGATTAAGTTTCTTAAAAAAAAAATCTGCAGTTATTTACAGCAGTATTGCACAAGTAAAGTGGCAATTACCCTGTCAAAATTCATCAGTGCAAAACACAAGTAAGCCAGGGAAATCGCAAATACAAATGCTACATACGCTGGGTCCTAGGAAACAGGTTAGTGACGGGTCCGTATACAGACAGATCAGTGCTATTTATGAATGTGTACCTGACGAGTTCTGATACAGTAACTAGTGGTCACAGAACCTGGACATACAACTTCAGAGAGCTTCTAATTCTGATTCCCAAGTAAAAGTAGTCAAGTTACCTAGCTGGGAGCTCAAGGATGCTTCGTGAACACTATGCCGTTGGAAGGAGTCCCCTCCGCTGGTTTAGCGTCACGTGTGGACCCACCCCCGCACCCACGTGAGCGGGGAGCGGACGCACACAGGCACCAGGCTAAATCAGCAGGGATGCTAGAACCATCTACTGACATAGGACCACTAGGAAGTCTCTCTAAAGCTTCCGTGAGCTTTCACATCTTAACATCCAGTCGAGTGGGACCCCCAACCTCTCTCGAAGCCAACAGAGAAGCAGAAGGAAGACAACCTGAAGCCGGCTGATCAAAGGTAGGGACCAAAGGGCTTAGGGCTGGGGGCAGTGGGGCGGGGGGAGAGTTCTGTACAATTAGCTCCTAAAGACCATTAAGCCCTCACCTCAAAGCACAGGACACAGCGGGTAGGGGATAATTCAACTACTCACCAGTTGCCAAAAATGGGTTAGTGGCATGAGGTGGTGGTCCTGATGTCCCTCTCTGGGCAGGAGCACTCTGGCTCACCTGTCCCTTTCTCTTGCCCTGCACAACTCCTGGCAGCACCCCCAAAGGGGCCCGTTTTTATTTTTCTGAACTCTGAACTGTTAGGGATACCCGTTCAATGGAAAAGGCTGTCCCAATGGCCAATAATACATTAAAATAAAATAAAAATAAAAAAGATATGGGCTGGCCTTAATAGAGCACGCATCCACGAGAAGCTGGCTTTTAAGGAATAGAAAGTCACTGGTTATTTTTGGTAGAATTTTGTAGCCGGCCGTATCTATGGTCTTTCACTGATGGCTCAGCACAGACTTCATCATCAGGATAGCAGACCCCAAGAATTTAAACCCATGTGACCAGAAATACCAGGAACCAAAGCTGGAGGGCAGCCTGGGGAAGGGCATGGGGCTCAACAGTCACCACCTCAGAGCCAAAGCAATGAATGGTACAGCAGGGGAAGGGGTGGGGTGGGGGGAGCAGGGAGGTCAACACTTTTCAGAACGTAAGACATTAAATAAGCAGGAAATAAATATACAACATTTCTACAGGTTACAGCATTATGAAACAGTAGGACACATTACACAGAAAAAGAATCTACAATATGTACAATCCTCAATTCTGAAAAAGTTTAGTAAAAACAGTGATCTTTACTCATTTATGCTGTACAAAATTTTACAAGAGAGGGAAAGGGAACACAATTGCACACAGACATTTGGCTCAGTTGGTAAGTAAAATGTGACCTCCTAATCTAATAAATAGTCAAAATATATACAATATCAAGAAGGGGAAACAGGAGAAAGTTATTCTCTATAGGGTACACTCTTCTTAATCAAAGGGAAGTTCTGCCTGGTTTTCCTGCAACCCTACAAGGAGCTCTTGGCAAACTCGTTTCGGGGCGGGAGTACAGGTAACAGGAAGAATTGGTCGTGGGACTCTTTTGCATGTGTTTATTGCATTTTTGTGATAAGTCACAGGACACTTTCTACAAACCTCATGGGACAAGAGGTGGTCAAGGCACAAAACCCGCATTCAGTTTCCAAAAAGGGATCTAGTCTTTTTTTTTTTTCCTACAAAAAGTAAAAGAAATAAACAATAAAAAGTCAAAGGTCTACCATAGTAGGTATACCTTCTTCCGCAGGGAGGCGGCGTGATAAACAGGTACGTACAGTACAGAGACATCCAGTCATCTCTCTTCAGTCCTGGTGCAACTTCCTGCTCCTTAATACTACAAATTCATAGAATCTCTGATTTCCTCACAAGCTGCTTCTGTGGCCAGCCGGCCACTGAGCCAGAGGTATGCCAGCATGCAGCCCTCAGGCACCGTGCCCAGGGAGCTGCAGTATTGAAGAAACAGAGTAAAGTGCTCCAGTCAGAGAGACTGGCACCGAGTATGGAGATCCTGGGGGGATGGAGCTGGGGGAGGTGCCCAGAACCAAATACGTCTTTGGTGTGTGTGTGTGCCCAGCAGGTCGACCACTGTCTTACAACCGTGTGGACTTCACGACCCTACTGAGGGGTTCGAGACGCGTCAGGAACACAAGTCGACACTCAACACAGCTTTAAAAAGTATTCAAGACCCCAACAAGACTTTGGGGCAAAAGAAAATCCTAAAAAAGGAAGAATATTTGGAATCAAATATCTCTACCTAATGGAAAATGCGTATATGCTTTAGATATATACATATATATACACATATATATGTATATATATATATATATATATATATATATATATATATATATATATATATATATTTATATGGGATTATCAAGACAGAAACGGATTTCCCTACTTAATTACGTGAAAATTCTGGTCCTCTATGGGCCCAAAATAAAACAAGAATGGTTGGCACTGCTGACTTGTTTGAAAAATGTTTTTCTCTAAAAAAGCCATTTAAGGATCTGGGGTTTCAAAATTGGAAGTTCTAGGATTCACGAAATGATCTCTACCTCTCCTCTTTCACTGCTTCCTGATCTCTCCTGGATCTCCCCGAATTGTTTAACTGCCTTTGACATGACAGACAAACTCATGGACCCTCCAGTCGCCGTACCCCTCCCCAGGCAGATGTGGAGAAAGAGCGAGCTTGCCCAAGAGAGGTGGGTGCACCAGGCGTGGTCCAACAACACCCAAATGTCCCGAGAATAACGGAACAAGACAGACAGACATCTGTCAGAGGCTGAGAGCCCACTTCAGATTCGGGCTCCAATGCAGTGTTTTTACGGTATGGCTGAAGGCAGAATTAGGCCTTCGTTCCTAAGTGATTTGGGGGGCTGGGAACCAAGTGTCAGGCATCAAAGGCCAGACGAACCTGGAGTTGTATGAAAAGCCTGGAAGCCTAGGAAACAGCCGCCTAAAGCCCTGCCCATGACTTGCGCCAATTCCCACAAAGGCTGGAGCTCTGACACCTATAGTCCCACCAGATCAGCGAGCGGGCACGTTTACCACCTGCGGCCCCTGCTGACGGTGCACCTGTGACTGCGGGTGAGTCTGCGACTAGAGAAGCCCACAGTGCCGAGGGGCATGGTGCCTGTCTGTGCTAGGACTGCTATTCCTTCTTCAGAACACCTGTTAATGACAAGCCCATCAAAACCAGTGAAAACCAACACCATGCATGTCCCAGTGAACAAGCTACTGACAGACAAGCCAATGGGGTTGTGGAGGTCACAGGCAGATCCTTATTCATGCTCTGACCCAGTTCCCTTTCATGATGAGAATACGCTGCACCTCCTGAGTGCATCGGCCTCCAGACAGACCAGAGGAGCATCACCAAAGGAGACGAGGAAAAATACACGAAGAGAGTTTTAAAATTTTGCCAGGGATGCAACTGAATTTAAGGAGGTAAGTAAATATTTACAAAACGGGAGTGGCATAGCAATACAGGCGGACAACAGACCCTCTGCCCCTTTAATTGGTTTTGTTTCATAAGAACTTTTTTTGGTATTAATGATAAAAAAAAAAAAAAAGCACGTTGAAGAGCCAATGGCAGGGCAGGGAGGGGGGCTATCTCATACCTCTCCCCTTTAAAAATTCTGTACAGTCATCTCTAAAAATACACTGAGGCAGCTTTATCAACTAGCTGGCTCGGTTTCCACTGCAGAGTTTACATCATCCTCTGAGAGGAGGCAATAAGTTCCTAAAATTTTAGTACAAAAAATCATTCATGAGTTGCTTAAAAAGTTTCCATTTCCTTTTTGAAAAACCTGTTCTTATTAAAGAAGGTGGAAAAAAAACCCACACCGTGTGTAAACACCATTTTTGCATAAAATCCTGCTCCAAAGAATCATGATTTGTACATTTTTTTTTTTTTAAAAGAATCCTCCCTCATTTACATTCACAACAAACTTCCATCAGAAATTCTGCCGTGTGATGAACAGAAAGGTCAAGTCCAACGTGCAGTGCAGCGTCCTCGGATCACATCAGCCGGCCTCCCCGCACGACCTCTCGGGGGAAGAACCGCCAGCCGCACAGCAACGGCACCCCTTAGCCGCGGTGCTGGGCTTGTTGGTCGGAACCAGCGAAATGTCTGCACACATCTGGCCCCGCGAGGAGCCCGTCGTCACTGCAACCTCCACACCAGGCGGATGATGTAACGTAACAGTCGTAAGATAATCATTTGGGGGTGGGCTTCGGCTGCTGGGTAATTATTCAAAAAGACCTGAAACAACAACAGGAAAGCTTCTTAGTTTCTCAGCCCTCATTATTTTTGGGTGGGGGAGGCCTGTCTTTAAGGGAACCACCAGTCCCACTGTCGCAGCTATGGAAGGGCACCCCTTTGCGATCACGGAAGCTTCCCAGCACAGGTCCTTCCCCTGAGACTGTGAGGCCCGAGTCCTTCCTACCTCCCACTGCGGAGGGAGCATTATGAGCCAGCAGCACGCCGACTGCTTTACAGAAACCCGAAGAATGCTTGCAACCTCAAAGACAATCAGTTTGCTTCTGTCAAAACACACCTATTCTTTCTACAGGCAAGGTCATCACTGGCCAGAATGGCCTCGATCGGCATCCACCTGCGTGCAGGTGCTGAGGACAGCCATCCCCCGATCCACGGGGGCCGGCGTCCTGTGGGAAGAGGTCGGGGTGGAGGGGACAGAGGAGAGGTGTGAAGTGACTGTCTCACTACCCAGGTTATTAACATTCAAATATGCTGACTCCCCCAAGGGTGAATTTCTGGTAGCGCTAGTTTACTTGAGAAACCAGTGATTTGGGGTAATTTGTCCTAAGAAGCTAAATCAAGTGGTGCACCGATGCGTCACGAGGCCTCTGATGGGGGGGTGGGCAGCTCTGCTATGTAAACACGGGTGGCTCAGCGCAGTGTCCACGGTCACATGCACACACAGGCGGGGTCAACCCCCATCTCCCACCCCATGTGGGGAACAAAGAACAATTAAAAATTTTTAAAAAGGCGTCTCTGCCAGTGACCACCATGTTTACGACAAGCGGAGAAACCATTCGAAGGAAATTGTCAGAATGAAAGGTCTCAGAGGTCCTTGGGTCTGCTGCAGGGCCCATCTTTGAGTTCTAATCCATCCTGCCAGTGCGTGTGAGGGGGCCATTCAGAGCAGCCGAAGGTGGCAAAGGAACACACCTGCCTCTACGCCAGGAGCTACAATCCGTTTCACGATTCAGGTCTGCAGCCCTCGTTTCCTCAGTGAGTCATCGACGCCGGAGACCAGCTAGCTCTCCACAAGCCCCCTTCTTCCTCGGGCAGGTGAAGTTTCCAACACACCCAGGGGCCACGAGTGGGGCTGGGAATGAGCGTCCCCTGCCACGCGCAAACACTGCCCGCAGACACCAGCTGCGAGTGGAGGCCCTGCCTGCGACTGTTTACACGAGCTCTCGAGCACTGGTCTGACAGGGCGGGATTGTGATAAGGCTCGGGCATTTCCCGTTCTCCTTCCATAACCAGACTGGAGGAAATCGGCTTTCTGTAAGCGATTCCTGTACAGGCGCTCCGTAACCACAGTCTGTGATTTTTATCTGTTTTACACACAAGATTGCTTTGTTTTGATTTAACTTTCAAAATCACTTTGGTTTTTCTGTGTGAGAATAATTTAGGGGAAGGTTAATTTTAGTTGAGACTAATATTAATAGGTTGAAAGAGGCTTATTCAAAATAAAACCACGACTTACTAAAATGAAGAAAGCGTGCACAGGGTTAAGCAATCTCTTCAAGGTGGGAAATCTTGTGTCAGCCAGGTGTCACTCCCAGCCTCGGTAAGACAAGAGAATGGGGTCAAAGTGACTCCAGCAAGGGGACAGGGCCACGTTAGGAACAGATCCCAACTGCTTCCACTCAGCTCATTTTATATTCCAGAACTGGCCGCGTCTGAGAGGAGAAATCCCCCACCTACTCTTTGAGGACATCGGGTGGATAGCAGTGGCCGTGACGGTTAAGAGTCTTATCACAAGACGAGTCTTTCCAAGTTCTTTAGAGTTCTGCTTGCATCTCAAGTGTAAAGGACATGGGGGTGTTCAAAGGAAGCTGGGGAGGGGGCAGGGGCCATGCAGGAAATTCTGGCAACAGGAACACCCAATCCCTGAGCAAGAAGATGCTACAACTACTCAGGAAGGACAGCAGCACGCCTACTCTCTCAGGCAGTGCGTGTGACAACACGGCACATGCTTTTTGCTTTTAAGCCAGCGAGAAACGGCTTTTGGACAACATTCAATGGAGGAAGCCATTATGACTGAATTCCAAGGCCACGCCAGTCCCGAAAACCCTTGACCGCTGGCATAGCTGGCTGAAGCTGGCACAGCTCAGCGTGTACGGCCTGTCGCTCCGAAGCAGCTGGAGGACAGCAGCTCCTGCTTCCCGCATATTCGCTGCCCTCTAGCACCTATAGCCGCACGCATCAGCTCATTCACAGGAGCACACGGTAGGTGCCTGGTGATGCCAGCGTGGGGCAGGAGGCATTGGCGCCGGCAAGTGAGGACACCCAGCCAGGCCCCAGCCAACAGCTCCGAGCACATGTCAGCACAGCCAGCCCGAGATCTCAGTCCTCTGGCCTCCAGGACTGTGAACAAACAGTTCTGTTGTTCAACACACCCCTCCCCGTGGTACTCCGTTATGGCAGTCCTAGCAATGGAATATACCTTTTCATGCTTAATGAATATTCCTTGTTCCTTTCCTCTTTAAGAAAACACTTCTTAGATCTGAGTTGTGTAACGCTGTTTTACGTTAATTCATAAAAGTACTTTAGGGAGATATGTTAATGGGCTGCATTTGGATAAAGGAGATTATTTAAAATAAATATGCTACGAAGTGCAAACCATTTATGCATTAGAGTGATCTCTTCTGCTCACACACACGGGCGCACGCACACACAAACACACGGAAAACACAAGTGCTTGAAGTGTAGGGCCCCATCCTGTTGGGTCTTTTCTCTCCATGGTTTAGATCAGGAACTACATCCTTTGGGGTAACTGACTTTTATGGCCATCCCATATGTCCAGAAGAGGACTCCTTCAACATTCAGCTTCGTATCTCCCTCCAGGAACTAATTCTGACAGTCCACACTCCTGTCCGGGTCAGGGCTGCAGCCCCTAGGCCTGCTTGTGTGGGGCAGGGAGTGTGCTGGGGCCCGCCTCGGAAAGTCTGCATCCACTGGGCTCGGTGGGCAATTCCTCTTGTCTTCAGCAACAAGTGCAGAACAGCAATGCCCAGCCCAAGGGCCACCGTGGGTGCTACCAATAGTGACAGCAGCCCGTAAGAAAGCCACAGCTGCTGCCCTGCTCCTGGAATCAGGATTCAAGTCCCTGCTTTGCAGGCAAAGAACGCCTACGCGTTCCAGGAAAACGGGAGGCTTGTGCTGAGGTGCAGTCAAGATGCGAGAGAAGTGCGGCAGCATCTTTCTATGAAGCCCACGCTCCGGTGAGGAACAGCCGTACAAATAACTGGGGCAATAGGACAACAGCAATACACAAGGTAAATGAAAGGGCAGAGAAAGCAGCGCCCGCCAGAGAGGCAAGCGGGGCCCCGGAATATCCAGGGCAGGAAGGCCCAGAGCTGGGACAGGCTTCCCTGCCGGAGACTCAGGTGCACTTCTTGGAAGATCTGAGAAGTGTCCCTAGAGACAGTGTTGAGAGCATTCAGCAGGGGATCCCAAAACAGTTCCCTTATGTCCTCACCAGAGGACACGGGCTCAACCTGGGTGGCAGCTGGGGGTGGGGCTGTGCCAAAGGAACGCCCTTGAGTGGGGTCCGGGCAGACGTGTAAGAAGCTGGGGCCCTCTGAGCCACCGCGGCCCTGAAACACAGGACTATTTCCGCCTGCAGCCGCTAGGCACAGGACACAGCACCAGCCTCCACAGAGGCGTCTGCACGAGGACCGCCTTCAACTTACACTTGAGAGGACCAACCAAGTATCAGAATTCAATTACTATCATAGTACGAAAATGATCTGAGCAGAACATCCCCTCTTGCCCAGTCCAGGGAAGCAAGCATGCAGATACAAGAGACCCTGAGCCCAGGCAGTCCGGGGTGGTTGGGATAAGCACCGCACGACCAGAGAGCACAGCTCTAGGGCCAGCTCTGTTCTCCCGCAGGCAGAGACGAGCCCAGGCTCTGAGAAGCCGCCCAAAACACACCAGGCCTTCAGACTTGGGGTGCCCTTGCCTGGGGTCCGGAAGAGTCACTGCCACCACTCAACAAAATGACATACCACACACCTTCTCAGTCTTCACAACGAGCTGTGGGCCAGTATAACTCTCTTTCACATTTCCCAGATGAGGGGACAGACCAAGCTTGTAGAATCAAAATCAAGTCAACTTAGACTTCAGCACAAGAGCTCACAAATCCACACTCCAAAGGCTGGTCCAAACCCCACTGGGCCGAAGGACTCAGAAAGGACAACACATATACATTTGGCATTACTCAAGAGAGATTAAGCACAAAAATCACAGATGGGCACAGCGCAAAAAACATGAAAGTTAAGAGATAAGAAATGACATCAAGAGAGACTTTACCCTGGGAACCAGGGCTGAGGTCTACTGCCAAAGAGCCAGACTTTGGCTAAGAGCTTCCTGGCAGTGAAAGTAACAAGGGAAACACGGCCTGATCATCACCATTATACCAGAGAGCTCAAAAGCAAATTCTAAGAGACAAATGAAAAAGCTAGGAATATACCTACAGAACTCTGACACACACAGCAATTTTTAAACTCGCTCAAAAAACTCCTTAGAATTTCAACACTGAATACCTAACAGGTCCTCAGTAACTTTTTTCCTTCCTTTTTAGAAGAATGTAATCTTTGAGTGGTAATATGTTAAAAGAGACAGAATTCCGGACTGTGAATTCTTTTCTGTCAATTCAGTTCTCTCAATTGAAACCGACAGGGAACGTCTGCCCCAGATCGACAAGCGGGGATGTGTCACGTGAGTGTCTGGGTGGCGTCTGGTCCCCTAGGGGCCATCGCGGCATCTTCCAGGACATGGATGGGTGTTGTTGCCATAATCCAAGCTGACTGGGTGGGTGGGTGGAGGGAGTGGAGCAAGCTGGAGGGATCCTGACGGAAGACCACCTCTATGCACTCATAACCTCCATCAACCTAAGCAGTATTTTACACGACAAGTGACGGAGGCGGAGATCAGAGAGGAAAAGGGCCCACCACATGGAGCATCTCTGGGAAGATGCGGGGGTCTCTCCACCTTGGCCCAGA